GAAATTACAAAACTACGCGCTCATGCTCGACGAGATCGTACATGAAGTACGTGCAGGCAGGATGAATGGCCCATTTCGCCATCCGCAGTCATGGTCGACGCCGGCCATCGCTCCCGTCGGCTACGATGACATGGCACTACAACCCCTTCCTCACGACAACCCTTCGGATTGCCATGGCATTCAGCATCAAACAGATCGGCTCAGACGGCAACGACTAGTCCGCAGAGGAGAAGATTGGAGACGCAGCGGCCGCAACTCCACTTGCGCAATGCGCGACCTACCATTCCATCACACACCTGATCACTTCGCGTCGCTTGCGATACAGACACACCGATTACACCCACACAACGAAATGCATGTCTGCGGACATGACCACGACGGAGCATATCGTCAGCTCCCGCTAGACAACCCGGAGAGTGCCTATGTCCTTCTGCGTACACCCGAAGGGCCAACATTGTGGAGTCACAACATCCTAGTCTTTGGATCATCCGCAAGCGTATGGGGATACAACCGGTTCGGCGACGCGATGGTGTCTGTGTCCAGAGTCCTCCTGCTGTGCCCCACCATGTCACCATGCACTACGTGGACGACTACGGCAGCACAGAGGTCACCCAACACTCCAATTCGGGATTCCAAGCCTTCGAGGACTTCAGCGATGCCCTCGGGTACAACATGAAGCCGTCCAAGCGACAACCGCCCGCGCGTTCCCACAAAATGCAAGGGGTCCACATCACCATCGAGACACATGAGATTGTGCTCACCCCATGCCCCCAGCGGGTACAGCGTATGCAGACACAAATACAACAATGCATACACGATGACCACCTCGATGCCGACACAGCCAGACGGATGGCGGGCAAGTGCAACTTCCTTACTGTTCGTTTGTTCGGCAAGGTCGGACGGGCACCACTCAAAGCAATCTACGCGAGAGCACACAGCTCCCACACATCACTCGACAAACCCACTCGTGCAGCTTTGTGTGGGCACTGCTGGACATCATATCACATTGCCAGCCCATGCGAATACCACGTGAATTGACTGTGATGCAGTTTGCCGTCATTTGCACCGATGCATATTACACGGCCAACAATCACCACCTCCGGGCCTCCGATCCTGTCCCAGAAGATTGGAATCCAACCGACTTCACCACAGTCAACAATGGTCTCGGGGCAGTCATCTTTCCCCCTGGAGAACAGCATCGAGCATGGTTTTTCCAGGACCGACTCCCCAAAGAAATCCTCAAACTGTTCAGCTCCAACACAGCCTTCATTTATTTGCTGGAAGCATGGGTGGCACTGCTGGCACCATTGGTCTTCGAACCCCTCCTCGGCAAGTTCTACATTCAGTGCTGCGAGAATGAGGCAGCTCGACATGCCCTCCTCAAGGGAATCGGAAAACATCAGCCCGTCAACGCCCTCATCAGCGCACACTGGACGTGGCACAATTGGAGGGGCATCGCTGATCGCCTGGCACGAGTACCCACCCAAGCCAACATCTCAGACCCCGTGAGTCGCTTTGAGACCTTACCTAGTGGACTTTTATGGTCCAGAATCCAAATACCTCAAACGGCCATCACCAATCGGGCCTTGAAAATCATAGGCGACATCAGGGCCGCATCCACTTTAGGTTTTGAAAATATCCCGAGCTGGGCCCCACTGATTCCATTTTGGGGCGCCGTTAGCTCAGCTGGTGTCAGTTACGACGGGAATCGAACACCAGCGACGGGAAAGTTCGATTACCCCAGTCTCCTTCACCAAATGCACCATAGGTGCATCATAGAAATCCACGGGGACTGATTATAGTGCACCAAAAGTGCACCTACACCAGAGGGGAATTTTGCCACAGCCTTGAGATGTGGTTGGAAAACAGAGCGGTTGCTCCTTGCTATCTGTAGTTCAGCAGGTCTGTAACGAGACCCTTGGAGCGATTTGAGATTGTCACGTTGCAACGGATTTGCCGCGTGCTTGCTGCTTGGGACTAGTTGTCTACAAGGGCATGCACACAAAAATGGCAATGCAAGACACAGATGCGAAGAAAGAAAAGATTCGAAACACATGTATAGTTTACCGTAAAGGTAGTGGGATTGGCATACGACATAATAAGCTCAAAGTTTCGAAGATGTTGGTGGAACAGTAAGGGCACTTGTACAAAACCGCATTTGTGTTTAGATGGTCCGACGCCTGAAAATGTTAGCATGAAATTGAAGATGTTTTATCAGCATGACTCATGATCTGCAATGTGCAATGGAAGCAAAATATAACTCATGCCGGAGATGTTGGCAACACAGCGGACAGGAATACAGCTTCACCAGAAATTTAGGGGGTGTTTAGGGTTTCAGGTTTAGGTATCCGACCAGAGATGGCCATGAGCAGAATTGTGGATTGATGGAAGCATCTTGTCAAGAATTGGGGGGACCAAAGCACTGCCCAGATGACAACTGGCTATTGCGTTGTGTCAATTCATGCGGTAACGCAAAATGGGCTTATCATGGCTTATCTCTTCTGCTGCTTTCGGAAGCCAAGCAGGGAAGACCAGCATTCAAGGAGAAATGACGGAAGTGTAACACTTGTAATGTTCTGCTGGGTTCCTCTATACAAATTGATCGGCGTAGAAGTTGAAGTGCAACATGAAAAATGGACAGGATCTTGGGTTCGAGAAAGAGCACGGTTGCGATGTGCTGTCGAGAGTTGGGCAGGAGATGACACTTCTTCGCAAACGCTTGTTCTTATCCGCATGTGCTCGCGCGAACACCTTCCACAAATTTTGCGGGCAAGATAGAAAGAAGCCTTGCCACAGCAGGACTTTCCAAACGATACAGAGATGGGGCACAAGATGCAGGCACTGCTTCATCCATGGTTTTGTGGGTGCAGTGAAGATGAAGATTCATATCCAAGCTTCTGCGGCAGTTGTGGAAGACGAAAGCCCAGCAAAGCTGCATGCGAGCAGTGAAGGCTCACCAGGAGCAATTTCATGAGATGTTGACATAATGCTGGCAGCATGCCACCACTCTGCAAAGCAGGATGCTGGGGGTAAACCGCCCCAAATGCCAACAATGTGAGAGACCCAGCACTTGCCAGCCAAATCTCGACTGTGGAAAGATGTGCACATTAGGCCTATGATTGACGAAGAGCTTGCAACAGAAATGGGACAGATCATCCCGAAGGACCATTTGAGACTACAAGCCGCGCATGGATCCTTCGACAGCGTTGCCTTCGGGAGGCCAAGGAGCAAATTGAAAAGATGTCGGAAGAGGAGTTGGGATCCTACTTTTGCTTAGTGACTTGGCTTGACGGCTTGACGGCCCGCAAGCTGGCCTTCTCTCCAAGGAAGATGAAATTCCTTGGAGAGAAAGCCATCAAAAAGCTCGAGGCATGGCGCAGTTCTGGATATGACCTGCATGGCAAATCAGTTGCGCAGCAATCAGACATGCAACGCAGTGCACAGTTCACATGATGTGTTGGCTTGCCAACTTGCTCATTCAGTGTAGGACCGCTGTTCCTCCTGTGCTCTTGGCACATCCTCGCATGCAGGTTTTCCAGGGGCTTCCTCCCGATGGCCGGTGTTGCCTGCTGGATTTTCAACATTAGTCAGATTTGAGCGCTTCATGGCCATTTGCCAGGCTGACCTGGATGAAGCGACTGTCGGAGGAAGACAAGCTTGAGTTTGTCAAAGCGCAAATGGTTTTCGCTGACAACTTGAGGAAACAAATGCAGGCCACTACTGATTCAAGAAGGGATCGCTCACAGCTGAACGTGTCGTATGCTCCTCATTCTCCATGCTGGTGCACAGCAATCTTTTGGCAGATGGTGGCAGGGTCGTATCTGACAGCGGGCATGTAAATGCACATGAATTTATAGCAACTGCAAACAACAGGTTGCTCTGTAGGCATAGTAAATGATGATAAAGCAGGCATGTAAATTAATGAATTACCACGAGACTGCCCATCGCCAGGCTGGACAGGGGCCGTTCGCTGCTAAGCAGTCTCAGAAGCCTGGCGCCCCGGTGTAGAGCTTGTGAGACAGTGACAAGGCACAACGGCTACAACGTTGCTCCAGCACCATGCACCATGGATGCTGTGCAGGCAAAGGATAATATTAATTCTGCGTCATGCGTTTGAACTGTGCATGCGGGGAGTACTTGAGGGTCCGAGCATGGCTCCGCCACAGCTGGGCGCTTGAAGTACAAACGTCCTGCGAAGCAAAGCAGTGCTAGATGGTGCTGTGCTCAGGGAACAGATGATGTAGCCTCCGCGTGAGAGTTTGACTCCGCATGGAGCTGACCAGAACAACTACATGAGTGCTGCAAATGATCAATCAAGCTTACCTTGCCGGTGTTTGCGGCACTCCGCTCGCGTAGTGCTTCCTGCCAAAGCGCGGGCATTCCAGGCAAAACGTGCAAAGAGGGATTCCTACCTAGTGTTGATGTTTTTGCACCGGTGCAGGTGCGTGCTTGAGCTGCAGGCAGCTTACATGTTCTAAAGTCTGTTTGGCCACTGAATCACACGCTCCATTCGCTCGTCCCTAAGCAAGCGTCAGAAGGAATTCACGCGGTACAGCGCATGTGCTCAATCTGCTAACAGCACAACACGCAGCAGTCACTGTCGCAACTCAACCAGCCGTGCTCTGATGGTGAGACTGCGAGTGCGCTGCCGTGTGACGGCCCTTCAACCAGGCGCTCGGAAGAAAGCCAGTAAGCTGGACCCAATCCCTTCAGGGTGCATCATGGCACATGAGAGACTAGGAGATCACATCCTCTCCTTAACAAGCCTACACTTCACGTTGTCCCAAACTTCCCTGTCGAGCCATTGAACCAACTTCTGTTTCGGCTCGGGGTATTTCGAGCTCTTGCAGCCCTTCGTTCCTCGTCACCTGCTGGAAGCTCAGGTGCAGTTTTGTGCATTCACCTTTCGCTTTACCCTCACAACGTTTCCATGTCAAAGCTCCAACGGATATCACAATCCTAATTGGCGAAAACCAACGCTTGCAAGGCTGGCCGCAAAGATGATGCCCCCAGGTGGCATGGCGGGAGGCAACGCTGCAAGGTATGTGAGCCGGCTGACAATTCTTGTGATGATCAGGAGGGCAGCAAGGCGTTTTTGTCATAAACAAGAACGCCAAGCGCGACCAGGACCTTGGGCAGTGCTAGGCGAGAAGGCACTCATACACGTACTGCTTGTTCTGCCAGGGGCGTAAGGCGCAGCTGACCAACATCCAGGTAGACCTTTGAGACTCCTCGTGTTGTGCTGTGCTTCGTACTTCTGGATGAGGCGGGCAAGACAGTGGCGGGGATCGTGCGGACGACTCTGGGGCCAAGAGCGATGCTAAAGATGCTGCCTGGCACCTGGCTCCGTTGGATCCAGAGCGTATGTTGCAGCTGAGACTGTGCTCTCTCTCTCTCTCTCGAAATGTTCGCCGATGCAAGAGCTCTGTCTGGCAGCAAGCCTTGGCTCAAGTCAAGTGTTACGCGATGGTATCGGGGAGAAGCATGGCTCTGCCAACTGTGCGGACAGCAAGCCAGATGATCTGCATGCAGGGCCTCGCACTGCTACTCTTTAGAGCAATGGTGACAGTTGTTGCAACTCGCTAAATCCTGTAGATTCCTGGACCAGCTCACACACCTTTGGTCCCGGCTCCTCGTTTGGCCTCTTAACTGCCCTCCTCTTGCCCTGCCTTCTTGCTCACCGGTCATTACAGCACGTCTCCTTGGAAGCACTAGCAGTGCCAACGGTTTTGTTTGTTCACTTCGCTGATTTTGCTTGATCAGGTTGTTGCCAGTGCTGTTGAATGGGTGTGCAGAAGCAATGGATTTGCCACAAGCATGTGGCTCCCTCGAGCCAAGCAACAAAGCTGCAAGGAGTACTCTGAACAGGCTTTTGCACGTTGCAGATTCAGCCTTTGCCCTCCCAAGGTACTAGCAAGATGATTGCAGTTTACTTTGGATGTGGATGTTTCTGGCACATGCAACATGAGTTCGTGCCGTGGGCCTAGACATGCAAAGCAGCTGTGTTACACCTTTTGGCATCGTACTTTGCAAGTTCCTAAGCTTCTAATGGCTTTTGTTTCAATGGCAGTGACAGGAGTGAAGAGATGACGCAGCTGTGCCGCAAAGACGGTGCTAGTCTTAATCAGGTGTGTTTGTTGCGATGTGCTTGGACTGTCCGATTCTTCGCCGAGGCAATCTCACTTCTAGAACCGCTTATGCCGGCGGAACCAAAGTTGGACCCGGTGGTTTGGTTTGCTATCACAACATGGAGGGCAAGGCTTGCCATTTCCTTCCCTTTGTGGACCGTTGCCAACTCAAAGTGCACAGGCTGACTATGGCAAGCTCGGGCATGCCGAGGTGGTTGTGATGACAGTGCATCCTAGCTCTATTCGGCCCGGTTTGGCTCCTGTAACAGCTTGCTCCGGTTCGCGCAGGGGGTCCCAGGCCAGAGAATCGCTTCGAAAGCTTTGCTGGGAAATTCTTTGAAGCCTGCCCTGCGGGAATCAGACGAGATATCCAAGACGTCGGCGGTGAGTACAGATCAGCTTCGCGGACGCATTCTGGAAGTGACGTGCTACTTCCTATTACGCTAACCTTAGCCACCTTGATCTCTGCCACAGCCCGGACGCAAGCAGACAAGCTTTTAATAGCTTCAGGTGTTTGCCTAGCCAGCATAGCCACTCAGAACCAAAGGTTATTGGCCTTCCCGGCGGCATCAATTCTCCTTTGATGTCCCAAGTTCGCAAAAAAGCTGGAAAGACAACGCTCGTTGCCGGACGAGGTCCAGATTTGTGTTGCGCGCCATTTTGTTGGATGCAATTCGCCTTTCACTATCGCCTTTCACTGTCGATGCATAACGAAGCATCGGAAGTGCCTTGTGATGCTCAGGAGACGACGGCGACACACTGGGCACTGGCTCTGTCCTCGTGTACGACACAGCGCAGTTTCCAGCAAATGTTGCCGTTTGCCAGGAATTTTGTGATTCAGCTCAGGTGATACAATTAGAGGATCCTAGACCAGCGCAGTTGTTTTGATTCCATCTTCCCGGATGCCTGAAGCTATGCCATGAGGCGGAGCAATATCATCAGTTCCACGACGACATGCTTGACAAGTATGGTAGCCAATACCACGCACTGCGAAAGTTCGCAAAGAAGACGCAGTGTCCCGGAGATGCGTGGTCGCTGATCAACTGAAGTGGATGCGTTTGCAGCGCTTTTCAACCTGACGAGTGTGGTCAGGCCAGCAGCTCGGACAGGTCACAAAACTGCAAGTGTCAGTGCAGTGTGACCCAAAGCAGCACAGCTAAGTACAGATTGCCCATCGGACACTCGTAAGCAGGACCCGCTCACGAGGTTGAGTCGGCCCAAGGTTGGATCCCTTCCCCGACCAAAGCTGAGCTGGCGCGAATTTTCGGCAGCCCCAAAAGACTCTGCCCGCTGTATGTTGAACTTGAGATGGAAGCTCAGCAGGCGATTGGTACAGAGTACAGGATGCGAGCAGCCGTGAAAAGGCAGGCAAGAGACGGCTGGAGTGACTTTTCCTTGCTGTACAAGACGTACCCTCTAGCTCACCTTCCTCTCAACACACGGTGTTTCAGGGCTTTTCGCCCGACTCCTTAATCCCATGACAAAAACTAGGCTTGACATACATCATACTTGTAGCAGAACAAAGGAAGTGCTCTGCTTCGCCGTCTGTTTTCGGCATCTCTATCCCCTTTGCCAGTCCAGAAGCGCTGTTTATCATGTATGGGGCTCCTGACATGAGGCTGGACCCTATGGGCGGCATTGTCATGACAAACGATGGCAATGCCATTTTGCGAGAGGCATGTGGGGGCTTTAGCTGCTGTGGCGTTCCTGAAGCAATTTGTGTAACAGGTAGATGTTTCGCACCCTGCCGCCAAGAACATGATTGAGCTCGCAGCTGAAAGGTTTCCGGCTGAGGTTTTCAAGTCACGCAGCTGCCTCGAGGCTGAGCCGAGCGCAGGACGAGGAGGTTGGAGATGGCACAACTTCTGTCATCATCTTGGCCGGGCCCATCCTGCCATAGTTGATCGTGGGTGCTGCTGAACCACCATAGGCCGATGCATGTTCTCAGCGAAAGCCAGGGAGCTTTTGGGAGTGGCAGAGCCACTGATTGAGAAAAAGCTGCACCCAACTCTGATAGTGCTGCGGGCTCGAATGTTTGGCAGGTTGAAAGCGGATGATCGCTTATTCTTTGTGGAACGGACGCTGCTGAGGTCAGGCTACATGAAGGCATTAGAAGATGCGCAGACCTTGCTCAAGGAGCTTGCGTGCGCCACCCCTTCAGTCAAAGAACTTTCTGCGGTGCAGTAGTAACTCCATAAGTGAGATTTGAAATTGGTCCTTTAAGCAAAGGGTTGCATGCCCAAACTCAGCTTTGAAAGGAAGAGGAAGTGAGCCTCAACAGCGTGCAGTCCAGCAATCGGCAATCTGTTCACCAGAAACCCGTGTTCAGAAGAAGCGTGTCACAGAAGATGATTCCTTGCCTAGCTTCATGAGTTCCCAGAGACAATTGCGACAATTTCTAAATACTTCTTTTGGCTTACCTCGCTCTTGTCCCAAAGCTTGCTCCTGCCCTGGTTCATCAGGTATCCGGTAGACCTTGAACATCCTGAGGTCGCACTGCACAAGTTGCGTTCCTACGATAAAATGTACATAGATTGCCGCAGGCCCTGCGGGAAATTGTACGCGGGTCAATTGACACGAAATTCGCGAGCAGGCTTGGGTCTCAGTTCATCTTTCAAAATGACGTCTATGCAGCCTGCCCTCTTGCACAGTAGCAGCTCCATCGATTGGTGAGATTTTGTGAGCCATTCGCGACTGGAGGTTCGGCACCTTGATCTCAGACTTAGCCATCAAGGCAGTCAAGACGGTCTGCATCACGAAAAATGACGGCCGCAAGGAGATTGTCGAAGTGTTTGGACGGTTCATGTAAACAGCATTATCTTTCCGTCATACTCAGGAGATCGACGTGAAGCGATTCGCGAAGGTTGAGAAGATTCAGGGAGGAGAGCTCACAGACTGCCAGGCACGGGTGCTTTCATAGCAGCAGCCAATGCTGCAGGATGCCAGAAAGAAGCCTGTTGAAAGGTCCTTGATGGCGTCATGTTCAACAAGGACATCACACATCCTCGAATGAGACGCGAGATAAGAAATCCGCGTGCTTCTTGTCTGCAAGCATAGCAGGACGTGTCAGCTTGGATTGCGTGTGAGCTGAACCTCGGGAATTATCCACAAGGTTGTGCTGCTAGACTGCCCGCTTGAGTACAAGAAAGGCGAGAGCAACATGGCAGCAACATGGCCCTGCTTGAGCGCAAAGACCCCTTCCCTCGTTGATGTTTCTCTTTGGCTACGTCATTGCTTGAGTAGGTTCGTTTTATGCAGTGGGCTATTGGCAGCTTCAGCTAGCATCTGGCCCAAGGTTGAAAGTCTTGTGCCGGGAACCCGAGGTCAAACCAACGTGGAAATCACCAAGGAATCAGATTGGGAGAAGTTGCTGCAGCAAGAGGAGGTGCCTCTTCTTGTTGGACGGAGTGATCGCAGACCATTTTCCTGAAGCCGCCCACAGGAAGAAATGCGGAGAGTCTGTGACGACATCTTAAAGGTCAAGCCAGACCTGGTCATCACAGAGAAAGGGGTGTCTGCCCATATCCTCAGTCAGACCATTGGTTGTGTGCTGAGATGCAGCAACCTCGCCTGTAAGGACCTGGCACAGCACTTCCTCATGAAGGTGGGGACCGGAGCTTCAAAACTGAAAAGGTTGGGAGTAGGAGTAGGTCCATTGCAGAGTTATGCCCTTGGAATCCCTCGCTGAAGCGGCTGGCAAGCTATTAGAATCTCAGTGGACATCAAGAGACTGTCTCAGACCAAGTCTGCATTCACCTAAGCTTGATACCCTTTTTTTGGCATCTTTGCTAGACTGAACTTGAGTCAAAGAGTGCAGCTCACAAGAAAAGTTCTCACATGCAAGTTCTATGTTCAGATCTGACTTACAGCCAGCTATGTCAGCAACGTCTCACATCACTCAAAGCTGCCGTTTCTACCGCTGGCACATCTGGCCCTTGCCACCAGGGAGGTGTGTCGGTGATTCGCCGCATTCGAAAGACGGACAACCTCCGAATCGTCGAGCTCTTGATTTGCATGGTGTGGTGACCGTGAGGGGATTCGTGAGATGGCATTGCGCTGCATGACCTAGGCCAGAGTGACTGGAGCACACATTTGCAACCGGACTGAGGACCCAGCCGGCAATGAGGATTTTGCATAGTTTCAGCCATCATTCGCCAGGAACTGCAAGAGTCCATGGTTGGAACAAAGCCGGGCCCTCACAGGTTGTTCCGCTTCATACCGATTGAAAAGTGTAGGTGCAGATATTTGCAAGAAGTGATTATTCACAAGCTTAGAAGGCGATGCTGCAAGTGCGCCATGGTGGTCATGAACAGAACTTGTGAAGGACATGTCTACGTTCTTGTGGCGCTGGTAGATGCATTCTGGAGCAGCTGTGATAGAGGAGTGGTCCAAAAGCAGACACCACTCATGACAACTTTGTGCAAAAGCGCAGCAAGTGTCAACAGAAGCTGACAAAATGAGAATAGTCATTGCTTCCGGGCCTCGAATTTCTGGTGCAGGTTTGTAGTTCAACATTAGGCCGTGAATGCCCTGCGATCTTGTTTTCAAAAGGACATTTTGGGATTCATTAAGGAGGTAACTTTGTGCTGGGGGAATCGTGCAAAAGCCATGATGACGCTTCAGGTGTGGACGGTTCAAGGTCAATAAGCTTGGGGAAGAGTACTTCACCTACCTGACCGAATGTCAGGACGGAGCTTGCAAATAGCATGTTGTGATGCACTCCACTATGCCTTCCCTGAGCTGGAGGATCCCAAAGCATGCGCCAGCCTTACTTGCTTGGGAGATTTACAGTTCGAGGGTTTGCCATCATCAAAGCCGAGTTTTCCAACTTCGCAAGGTTCAATCATTCTGCGTGGCGCCACGCGGGACGTCCTCAACGAAATGGAGAGAAATCTGCAGGCTGCCATGATGCCGCCACTTTGAGTTGGAGACCTTGTATGCATAAAAGAGTCACGGCCAAGGAAGCTGTTGTCACGAAGGGTCCATACATGGTGAAGCCAGCGACACCGGCCACCCAAGACTCATGTTGCATATCTCAGACGGTCAGGATGCCTTTGCCGTAGCTCGGAACATCATTCTCGAGCCGCAGCGCTGGCTTTTTTAGAACATATTGTCTGAAGATGCACGGTGGTATGGGCCTGTTTTTATGGGGCCAGGCTGCTTCTGCCCGGCGGCGGAGCTGTAGAAATGGAGCTGGCAGCACGGCTGCTGGGGCCTCGTACAGCCTAACCGCTGAATTTCAATTGGCCTGTCGTGTGGCTTGAGGAAAGAGAAGTCCAAGACCATAGAGGGCAGCCGTCAGTGCTGTGCTAAGTTGTGGAAGGATATGACGTATGCAGCGCCTCCTGAAATGCTTTTGTGAAGGTACGCCTACAGAGCTGTCGGCGAAGCTCTGGAAGTGATCCCACGTAGTTTGGCGCACAATTGTGGCGCAGTTCTTAGTCTTGCATCTGCACAGCGCCTGCCAACCACACGGTGTTCACTAGAAGTCGTTGTGCCAAGTTTCGTGGTGCCGGACTGCTTGCCATATGCTTCTGCAGCAGTGAAAGCAGTATCTGCGTGTTTGAGCCCTTGCCCTGAGAGAATTAGGTGCTGATGTGGTGCGGGCGATGACCGACTTGCGCGCTCGACATGCCACCACAGGCAGGGGCAAGCAAAGCATGCTTACCGTGCGAAGCGGCTGTCCTGGCAGGAAATGCCCACATTGGCATAGATGGCAAGACCGGCAAGGTCGCTGACGTCAAGGCTTTCAAGGGGTGCAAAGCAATCAAAAGTACAGAGCGCATCTCTGTGGTGGTGATGTGCTGTTCATGCTGCGCACTGCAACGCTTGGAAGTGCAACGAAGTAGGCCCCAAGTCTGGGGGGAACCTGCATTGCAAAATATTGCAAACATGGAACATGCATGGAACACGGAATCCAAGACGAAAGATGAGGACAGTGCTTGAAAAGAATTCCCACGTGCTCGATGGGTGGAGTGGAAACGTCGTTGCTAGCTTGCCTGGAACCAGTCCCACCATCTCACTTGCTCCTCCCAGGACTGACGAAGATGTTTTTCCTGCTTGAATCAGCCTCATCCATTTGAGGTGCTCAGCATCTTTGACACCTTTGCTGTGAAGCAGCAGACTCTGAGGATGGGGAACTGCACACATTGATACTGCCAGGAAACCCATCCTGCGCAGGACGTCCATAGAAGCAGCAGCGATGCTGCTCCGTGCGCTTTTCTGGCTCAGGACTAGATAGCAAAGCCCGAGCGTTGCCTGCTTTTGGCGCCAGGTATTGACGACATCATTTCTGGCATCAGCAAGAAGAAACGGGATGATAAGCCATCGGCTGTCCTGGGCTCAGGTATGCTGAGCTGAGATCGTGAGACAGCGTGTCAGCCAGCGGTACGGCCGCAGAGAGTCGAGCATCGAGCAAGGAGTCATTCATGCTGCAAGGTCATGGGTGCAGAGGACGAGACGTTTGGTGATTCGCGCGACGGCTGATCCAGCGGCATGGGTGTGGATCGCATGGACAAAACAGTGAGCGAGTAAGGGCACGGTTTTTGAAGTGTTTGCTGTGCGATGTGCGATGTGTGGGACGTCTTTGAAGTGTCAAAGCCCATCTACGATATCTACGGAAGAGGCAGCTGGCGTCCACCTCGTCCGCCTTCACAGGCCGGACTGCGAGCCACTCATCGAGCCTGTTTGAGCCACATTTGCGCGAGCTTTCTTCATGGCTTTCTTCAGTCCAGGTTGTCGTTCCATGCGCGCTCTTAATAGTTTAGAGGGACCAAGCGCGCGGACAAAGCATTTCTTGTGCTAGTTAGTTCGTGCTGAAGGGTGAGGTGGAAGTGGTAAGGTGGATCAGTGGTGGATAACAAAATCTACTTGAGAGCCTCCGGCCTGGAAGGGGTGGGCGGGACGGGCAAAAAACAAGGACCCTGGCCCAACCGAAATTCTTGGGCCGGATCTGGTTTCAAGTGGGGCCAAAAACCTGGGGCCGCATCTAGCTTTCAGATTTGGCTCAACAACAGCTTTTGGGCTGGATGTTTGTTTCGAGTATTTTCGAGTTTGGCCCTGGAAGAAGAGAGGCTGCTTCATCGCGGCATTACTGGCCCCTCAAGGGGGGTTGGCCGGCTTTTGCTGGGATGGGGGGCATGGGCGGCGGATAAGTTTGCGCCATTTATATCTATATCGGTCCATGTGGAACTGGTCAATACTTGCCTTAGGGGCGAAAGGAATAAGGAATGCCGTGAGGTGTAGGAACGGCGCTAAGAGCCCCAAAAGCGATAGGACCCCCCCAACGCGATACCCCTCAACATAAGACGAAACCATGATTCTGTTCTGGCTGAACCCCCACAAGCTACACGACAGCCCCCACAAGCGATAGGAACGCCCGAAGTTGTCCATGGCATCGGATTGTACAAGGAGTTAGGCAAACGCTCATGTGTACTCAAACTACGTACCCCTGTAATTTGATGGTTGCTGGATTCATAGGGAGAGGCAGCCGTACGACTTATCGACGACAAGGCTTTGGGTGTTAGGCAAGTTTCTTCTCCCACCAATTCACATTAGCAAGCTGACAGTTCTAGAATCATTCTACATGAGCGTGTGAGGCATCTGTGCAAATACGGAAGACAGGCGCAGTGCGGATAATGCTGGCTGCCAGAACTCCAGCAAGCTACAACTGCCATCCGCCTCATACTGGCGCAGGTGACCTGTCATCTCGCAGCCGCTTTGAAGATGTTGCTCAGTGCGCCTCGATGCGGCGTGAGCGATGGGGATTGTGAATGTGAGTCCATGTGAGTCGAGGTACACTGAGAAGATTCGGCAGTGTGCCCAGGCCCAGCCAGGCCAGCGGCTGGTATCGGTTTTGGGTTTGCTTGGATGAACAGGTTGGAGATGCTGACAGGGCAGACTTCTGGTTTTCAGAGATGAAGGCGGCCGGCTTCAAACATGATCTGCAGGCAGGATTTGCCGGAAATGCGGACTGCAGCTGTGAAATGCCAACAGCTCCCCAACGCACAGTTCGCATGTGTCAGGGAAGGGAAAAACAGCGAGAAAGCACACGCCTGTGGGGGAACTGACATTTTCAAGGCATACAACACGCTGCTGAATGCCTATGCTGCTTGCGGTGCACTGGACTCTATTGACGAGGCCCGTGCGTCTGCGTCTTTACCTTCTTACTGCGTGAGACCAGCACGGGTTGTTGAAACGGATAGCCGCAACGAAGCCAGTAAGATGCAAAGGCTTTGCAATTTCCTTCGTGACAGGTTCTAGAGACCATGATTGACGAAGGATGCAGGTGGTGCGCTCAATTGCGCAAAATGTGAAGAAAAAGAGTGTCAATCAGTCTGGATGCTTGAGGCCAGATACATACACGTATGCCTCTGCGATGCGTGCTTGTGAGCATATCGGAAATGTGCAGCGGGCCAGGGTCGTGTCCTCAGACGTGTTTCATCCAGCACTGTTTGAGACTTTGCCTCCTCAGCATAGGCATACTTCAGCCAAATGCGCTCGCGCGGAGTGTTCCCAGACCATGCCGTGTGCCCTCGACAGTGCAGTGAACTCGCTTCAAGGATTCAAGCGCAAAACGCAAGCTTGGCTGCACTCGCCTGGCCTGGAAAAGCACTGGAGGTACAGTGCCTTGCTGGGAGTCTGTGCCGCTGCAGGGGACGTGCCAGGCCGCAGTGGCCAAAAGATTCCGATGACTCGTATGCAGTGCAGTATGTTGCAGTGTGTTGCAGCCTGCAGCTTTACTTAGCGCGGGCAGGTGCGGCAGACGTCATGGATGACATGCGAAACGAAAGCGCCAGCAGCCCAGCAGAACCTTGAAGCCAGCAGCAATTTGCGAGAAGTCTGTGAATGCGCCAGGTGCAAGCAGACGTGTCTATCTACAATGCCGCCATGTCAGCAGCGGCCAAGGTCCGATTGCAGCAGGATTCGTCTGGCTTTTAAGCTTTGCCGTGGCAGTCGTAACACTTGGTGGAGCTTGGGATGCGGCTTGCGGCTGTGGTTCATACAAGGTACTTGCATGGTGTCAGATGTTTTCAGTCTGCGGACGTTTCAGACTACTGTCCAGAACTACAGTAGTGATTAGTGGTGTGATGTGAGCCACCACACCATTACTGTGCGCATTCTCTCAATGCATCCAGTCCTTCGCGGCCCTTGCAAAAGTATGAGAGTCTGAGATCGCCCAACATCTTGGCTGTGAGCGACAGGTGCTGCAAAGGTTTGCTGTGTGGACTCTTGTGACCCTTGTGCTGACTTAGAGTTCTACTCTTGCGGACTTGCTGTTTTGTGTTGTTGCGGGGGCTTCTTACTTGCAATGCGCTTGGAACAATGATGAACTTGGAAGTCCAATTGCTGTCTGACCAAGCACCGCCTGGACTGTGCGCTGGAGACAAGGAACAAGTCTGATTGTTCTACTTGTTGATCATAAAGCTGCAACCTCGAGCTGAAACTCAGCGCCCCGTACGTTTGTGCAACGCAGCCATCATACCGTGCTTTCACATGCTTGTTTGCTGTTCTTCCCGAGCACGGCCTGGACTCATTGAAAGACTGTCGTGCTGCAGGCTGGTGACCCAGAGAGTGCCACAACATGGTTCCATCAAATGACATCAGCAGGCAGGCGTTTGCTCTCATTCGTGCCTGTCAAGACTTTTGTTTGGTATCAGGTGTGCATCCAGACGTGTTCAGCCACAGTGCAGTCACTGGGCTCACACAGCGCATGCGAGCGCTGTGTCGTTATTGTATGTTAGCTATTGTACGCTTCTGGCCTGATTGAGCCCAGGTGATCAATTCGTACATATCCATTAACGCCATGGGTGAGGCCTGCCATGGGGATGCTGCATATGCTGCTACCTCCTCTTGCTCCTGCTTACAGCCCAGGCAGAAGACTGGCTGAGGGGAACGATTCAGGACATGAAGTGATCTGAGGGGTAAATGGTCAGAGGACAAGTCTTCACATGAGAAGGGTGTGCACTGCAGTCCCTGGCATCTCGGCCCTCAGCACATGTTGGTATGTCTACAGCGGCCCTCAACGCGGGAACGGAACTAAAGAGGAAGATTCAGCTAAGCAACTTGAGGTCCCAGTCATAGCCGAGCATTTAAGTCGCATTTGGGCAGCATTTGAGCAGCACTTGAGCGGCTGGAGGTCTGTTCGGTCGACTTGTGGCAATGCAGCGGTCCATGCCGACAAGGGAGCATGGGTCAGGGAGATAAGTCGAAACTTCCTTTGTGGCAGCTCACTTCACAGCAACGTGAGAAGCACTGGATCTGGAAGTTGGTCATTCAGGTTTCGAAGGAGAACGCTGCAACTGTCGATTTGGCTGAAGATGCGGTTCGCTTGTGTTGGCTGTCAAGATGGTGGCAAATACGCGTGCCGCCGGAAGCGCAGCCCCTTCAGGTCGCAGACGCCAAGGCGCTGGGGCACTGGCACTCTCCCATTTGATAAGGAAAGTGCAGGGCGAAACAAACACCGGAATTAATCAACTATTCAGTCACGAGCTCGGGTCATGTCACTGACTGTCAGTGCCGATTCCTGCGGAGCTGTGGCGAGCTCGTGGTTGAATGGCCAGGCAGCGATGGTTCGCTCGCTTGCGCATTGTAGTGTGTGTCAGTCTGCCTGTTCCCGTCGCAGCGGGCAGGCGACGCTACGGGAAACATGACCGGCAAGCTGAACCAACCACTGGTCCAGCAGGCTGAGGTTGGTGTCGTTCATTGTAATCCGTTTGATGGAGTAGTAGTTGTTACAGTCTACAGGACGGCAAGCCCCGCACAGCACTGCAGCCTCTTGGATGCATGCTGCTGCCTTTGCTACGCCATGCTATCAGACGAGTGACAGCGCTTGAAGGCAGTGCCGCTCATGCGACATGTGCGGCCGCAGGACCTGTCATGCCCAACGCCCGTAGCACCGCAAGCATCTGCAAGCATCTGCAAGCTAGTCAGTCGCCAGTCTCAAGCCCCGCAAGCTAGTCGTGTGCACTCCACACTCTGGCCAGGGCTTTGCTCTCCTGTTCCAAGTGCCGAGCTGCTGGATACTGCACGCAGAGCTGTCAGAAGAGTCATTGGGCGCTTTTCTCAGACTCTATGACCCACTTGGCATCACTGAAACCGCCTACGCCAAGGTGTACGGCCATAGACACAGATGCCGGCTTGCAGGTTGTGGACCCAGACTCTCAGACACTTCATGGCTCCAATTGGCAACATCTCCTGCGCACAAACTCCATCTGTGGGCAGAATTCGGGCCGTACTGCATGGGCAGTGCAACCTTGGGGACCACCATTTCAATTCGACTCACAAGGTGCAGTGAGCTTTACCAAATAGCAGTTGGTGGTTGAAACGCCGCTGATGCTAAGTTGCGATCTTCTGCAGCACGGTGCGTTTCTCCTTCTGGCTGCCTGTTGCTCTGTGGTGAGCCGCGTCGCTCATGTAAGCCAACAGCGCTGTAAAGGGGATGCAGGAAGCAAATCTGCCTTCATGTCAAGTATTTTCTCCATCAA